GACGTAGGAACTTTGGGGCCCGACGCAAAAATTTTTTTGGGGCCCTGTCATGCTTTTTTTAGGTATTTTTCTTGTGGTGTTGGGGTGTGAGGTGAGTGTGCGAAAGTTATTTATATTTTTGAAGTTTTTAACAACCAAATATAAAAACAAATTTTATCAAAAAACAAGTTTATCAAGAACGAGACAGAAAACAAGTTTAACGAAAAAAAAAATTGTAAACATTCAGGAACTTTTTGTCTAAACAAAAAGAAATACGACAAAGTAGTACCGCACTAATACTGTCCGTACTCCACCGACAAGTGTCATAAATTATCTCTGGAGTCTTGAAGACCATAGCTAAAAAAGCCGCATAACGCGTCCGCGTCCGCGGTTGCCGCATCGCGTCAAGCGCATCTTGACATTCTACTAGAATTCTATTTTCATGACGTCAGGTTGTCTAGCAACTGTCATCAACGCCTGTACTGCACACGATAAATAGGTCGCGAATGACGTCATGAAAGTGGAATTCTACTTCCATGACGTCACCTATTTATTGCGTACAGTAGAAAAAAATACACGCGATGATGACACTTGCTAGACAACCTGACGTCATGAAAATAGAATTTTAGTAGAATTCTACTTGTCGTGATCCCAGCCCTGGATTCCCTACAGGGCCTCTATTCGCGAAACGGGGGATAAGCGTTCTCATGAGAATGAAGGTTCTGTCTTAGTTGTCCATATTTCTATTTTCATAACACTGACAAAGACAGAGCCCTCCTTCTTTCTCGCGAGAACGCCGTACCCCGGTTTCGAGAATAGGCATCCTGGAATACAACGTTGCCGTATCTTTCAAAATTTAATTTTCGATTTTTTCTTTATATCTACGAGTTTTGTTTTTCATTCGTTTTTATCAGTCCCTTTAGAATTTGGTTGTGTGGGGGCCCCTCAGCTATGGGGGCCCGACGCAGAGTGCGTCGTTTGCTTCATGCTAGATCCGCCACTGGTTTGCCCCCTCTAAATGTTCGGTTGCCCCCTCTGGAATCAAAACCTGGCTACAGGCCTGGGCCGATCCTAGGGTATCGGCCGCTCGCGTGCAAAGAACAATTGCGCCGCCCCATAGAGATATAGCACCCTTACGTAGGTGCCGGTGGTGGAAGCTCGCCGGAGGCAGAAATTTTTTTTGGGTGCCACGCCCAAAAGCGTTCATTTCGAGCCTCAAAATGAAAGTTTTTGTGCGTTTAGGATTTTAAAAAAAATTATTTGGAACAACATATCAACATATTTGTTTTCTATGAGTTGTTTGAATGCGGGTGAGTGGTGATCAATAATGACAAACACTATCCTAAACTAAGTAGGACCTGGCTTGGGTACGAAAGTGAAAAATAGGGCCCTGTGGAAAATCAAGACACCTCAGTCCCTAGTCGTAATACTTACCCACATAACATACCCACCTACACTTGGAAGTCTTTGGTATAGTTTTTCCATAGTTAATTGGAACAAGGTGAACATAAATTATAACTGGTGGCTGACTAGTGGCAGTGCATTTCTTATGGAAATTTTCAGTGACTAGTCAGCCACCAATTTGTACCTTGTTCCAATTGAGTTTGGAAATACTATATCAAAAAGTTGGTAATATTGTTAGCGGGAGTATTCATCTAGTTCTGTTGGACGGTTAGTAATTATTCTTGCAGAATTAGGTGAATTGGAAACAAAAATAAACATTTTGAAAAAACAAAGCAGAAGTATTAAGGAAATTTAAAAAATTATGCGATCTTATGCTTATGATGGATGTATACAGAGCTAAAACTAAAACATTATGCGTGAGCCTACACATTGACTGTGCACTAAACTTTCTATTTATGATATCAGGAGATCGGGGTTTATTTTCATTTTTCAGGAGTTTTTTAAAGTTCCAGCTTATTTCTTTATTAGAAGTAGTTTTATTTTGAGAAATTCGTAAAAAGTTTTACTTGAATCTTAAATGACAGAATTATAGGCGGCCTGCGGCCGCCCCTAGATTTGGCCGCCCGCGTGCGGGGCACGCGCTGCACACCTGCTAGGATCGGCCCTGTCCATCTGAGAAGAAGCTTGAAAATATCGAATCTTTAAGAAACAACTAACAGCTTCAAGAACCAGTACTATAAGAGCTAGTAAAAAGGTAACTTAACTACTGAAAAATATTTTGGTAAGGAGAGCTGCAAGAATCTTGAAAGAAACAATAAAAGTTTGCCCATTCGCTTCACTCCTGAGAAATCAACTAGGTACCTACTGAATAAGAGAGGGCAGGGTCGGCGCAACCATTAGGCGAACTAGGCGATCGCCTAGCGCGGCAAACTTAAGGGGGCGGCAAAAACGCAACAAAAAAAAAAAAATCTTTTGAACTTTGCTTTTCTTCATGATATTCAGGATTCCATTTCTCTTGCAAACCCAAACTCAAACTTTGCCCTCTTCTTATGAACACACATATACTGCTATACCTGTTTCTGCTAGTAGCTATAGGGGTCGTGCGATCGGGTGACGGGCAGCCAAAAACTAGGTACTTATTTTATATTATGAATATTTTTGACACAAAATTAACGTTTTGGGCGTGGCACCAGAACAGCGTTTTTTCCCCTCCGCCGGCGCCTGCGGCGGGCATTTGTATATATATTTTTTTATGTTGATATTCTATGATCTATATTCTGTAAGTCACGTACAATCATTAATAAAACTATAAAACATGTTCTTAAAAATAGCCATGCATATTTGTATGTTTACTTGATAGGGGCGTCAGACAGTATACATTTGCCTAGGGCGCCAAAGTCGCTTGCGCCGACCCTGAGAGAGGGTATCAACAATCATTATACTAGAAGCTTGAGAAGAGGGCATTGAAAAAGGATAGGTTACTACAGCTACAAAACTAGTGAAAGAGTACAATTTGTACATTCATTTAAATTGATTTATGTAGTTCCAAATTCACCAGCAATTGTGTAGGTATATGACCTACCTACATGCCAGGAACCGCATTTCTCCCCACTACTTATTAATCCTTGTGTTATTTTGTATCTTTCTCTAACACGTGGAAAGCGATTTTTTCAATGAAAATTAGCAACGCTGCAAAAAAATAAATCCCACCTCGAATTCCACCTTTCCACCAATCAGCGGCTTCTATTGAATTGTCATGTCAAAATGCGACCTGCAGGTATTTTATGACAATTTCCATTTGTCAATCAGTGCGCAGTGAGTGTATCCGCATCTTTTTCTTAAATTATGTAAAATATAAGGATAAAGATACACTTTTGTAGCACTGATTCTGGTTTCATTTTTAGAGTTGCCAAGTATGCGATAGTAAAATGGGGGCGGAGTTAACGGAATCATTTGAATCCCTACTCCTAGCCGCTCTCACAGTTCACCCCCCTGGCCCATAAACATGTAGTCAACCAAAACAAAGCTATTTTATTTTTAACCATATATGAAATGTTGTCATTACTGACTTTTCAAAAATTTGAAAATGTCACATTTCTGTCTTTTCATTTTCCTGCTCCATTACCTGTCCCAGGACGGGAAGTGAGGACGGGAAATTTTTTCCGTCCTCATTTCCCGTCCACGGACGGAAAATGGAGCAGGGAAATATTTCCCGTTCTCATTTTCCTCTTCATTTGCCGACCTCATTTGGTTGCCCCGATTTTTTTTTTTCAAGAAATTATGGTTAAAAATAAAATAGTATACAACCCTCGACGGGAAACTTCATTGCTGTCTCGAGGTTCAGTGCTGTCTCGAGGTTCTATAAAACCTCTCGACCAGTAATGAAGCATTTCCCGTCTCGGCTTGTAATATACTATTCTCAATGGGATGTTCTGTCTATCTGTGTTAATAGGTCATTGATTTTGTTTATTATTGGTCTGCTAAATATTTTGGACAATTTTTATTCCCAAATCCAGTATTTTTTCCAACAAATGCAATCATTTTCTGTAGGTATGTGTTTGCTGACTTGTACAGGTTGCTGCAATTTGGAGTGTTTCAATAGGAAAAACACACTTCCAGACCAGATAGAGGAAAATTGACTTAAACGTCATGGGATCGATTTTTGTGAAACGCCAATTGTCAAAAACCGTATCACGATATCTTCAATGGTACTATTGATACAGGGTGATTTCCGATTTTTCCCTATTATGAAAAATGGCTATAAGTTTTTTATTTATCAATTTTTTTTATTTCTGTAAAAACATTATGGAGACAATTTTTTGAGCACAATCCAGTGGCGGACTCAGTTTCTTTCTATATCGTTCCAATTTCGAGATACCGACCAAATTCCGATATTTTCAAATGAAACACCCTAAATATTAATAGCTCATTGGATAGCTCTGTTTTTGCTAATTTCAATGATATAAACTTCGATAGGTTTATCTCTAACAGTTTTCGAGAAAAAAAATTATATCTGTTTTTGTCGTAAGGACCAATGTGTTAGAAAAGGATTTTATATGTGTAAGGAAAGAGAGGAAGGTCTCTTTCTAACACATTGTTTCTTATGACTGAAACATATAATTTTTTTTCTCGAAAACCGTTAGAGATAAAACTATCGAAGTTTATATCATTGAAATCAGTAAAAACAGAGCTATCCAATGAGCTATTAATATATAGGGTGTTTCATTTGAAAATATCGGAGTTTGGTCAATATTTCGAAATCGGAACAATATAGAAAAAAACTGAGTCCGCCACTGGATTGTGCTCAAAAAATTGTCTCCATAATGTTTTCACAGAAATAAAAAAAATTGACAAATAAAAAACTTATAGCCATTTTTCATAATAGGGGAAAATCGAAAATCGCCCTGTATTAATGGTACCATTGAAGATATCGCGATGCGGTTTTTGACATTCGACGTTTCTCGAAAATCAATCCCATGACATCTAAGTCAATTTTCGTCTATCTGGTCTGGAAGTGTGTTTTTCCTGTTAAAACACTCCAAATTGCAGCACCCTGTACATACAAGTATTCAATAACTTCATCATCTGCATGTATGTGGAAGACAATTTAAAATAAAACTTCTTTTAAAAATATATTTAATTTATACAAGTCACAAAAAAAACAGATTTAATGGTTATTTATTATTTACTTATTATAAGCTTATTCCTCCTTAATTTCAACTAGGTATACTGCCTCTATTATCACATGTTGCAATTTTATCTTCATCATCATCTTTTACTTCTTGGTTATCACATGCTTCATTCATTTCTTTGGTATTATCATTTTTTGAAGAATCGCTCGTAACAATATTTGATTTGCGTAGTTTTTCTGTTAAAGTGTCACTAGTCTCTTTTTCCACAGAAATCGCTTCATCGTTATTTATTTTAGAGATTAATTTATTATTAACTGTCTGACAAGTAATCAATTCTACATCCTTAGGAGTTATTTCATCAATATCCAGAGCCAAATTATCAATACCTGCTTCATTTTTCGTATAAAACTTTTTCCTAACATCATCCACAGTGAGCTCACTGTGGGGATCCTTTTCAGCTTTCGCCTCAGAATCCTCATCATCATCTTCCTCTTCGTCTTCTTCAATAATACTTATATCCCTTACAGAAGGTCTATGAGATCTTCTCCATTGCTCTGGTTCAACAGCGAATTTGGTTTTTCTTAAAAGTCTACTGCCCAAAAGTGTCACTAAAGCTGCTCCTATTGTGGTTGTTATCATAATTGATAAAATGCAAACCGTAACGATTTTTTTGGCGTAACGATGTTCTTCCGAGTTCGTGTCGGGTACTTGCGAGAGGACTATTGGTGCTAAGGCAGCCTGAAATTTCCAGATTTTAATAAAATGTTTAAACAAAGATAAGTAAATCAAACTACCTGAACTGTAGCTTTAGGCATCCACGCTATGGCGCAAAACAGTTTTTCTTTCAAATTCAAACCGCAACCGATTCCAGTAACCAGAGTGGCTAGAATTCTTACGATGACTCCCAAAATCAAAATTCCAACTCCAATTAACACAACAGTGCCGTGTAGCTCTTCGAATTTGAGTTGTGCACCAGTAATACCAAATAGTACCTAAGAAAAAACTGTTTTAAAGAAAAGTTTCATCATAAGTTTGTTCCAACCCACTAGAAAATTGGAACAAACCTATTATTAAAATTCTTACTGGTTCAACAATCATCCAAAATATTTCAAATGCTGTCGATGCAGGATTGTCTTCAATACTCCAGCCTTGCTTGGTCCAGAAGATTAAAGACACAAAAGCGGCAACAACTGCACCTAGGGGACCAGCTCCTCCATATCCTAAATGTTCGCTGAAGTAAATAGCTGCCATGCCTCCTGCTAGAAGCATGATTATCCTGAAAGGAACCTGAAATAATTGTGTCAAAATGATTCTGGACTTGATTGAACAAAAAGTAATATTTGATAGGATTTTTTTCTAGAGACAACTCTTACCACAAACTTATCATTTCGCTCAGGCGCGTAGTGTAGTAATACTCCAAATAAGATTCCGAAACCAAATCCACCAAAAATTGAAACTGGGCCTTGTAGTATTAACGACGTCATTGAACTGTGAATAAACATGATACTTTTGATGATGCCAAATACTGCTATGGAGGTGGCGTCATCTATACTGGCTACAGCTATGATTAGAGTTGGGATGCCTTTGGTTACTCCGTAGCCTTTAGTACGCAATCTGATAAAGAACATGTGTATATTAGATTTAAAGTCTCACTTGAACTGATCAACACGCTCTTAACAAGAAACATGTTACGGTTTCATTTGGATAAAATTATGGAAATCTAGAAACTTTATTATTGTCTTTCAAAAAATGTTCTTTTTACCTGAATAGACATGGTACCACTACTGCTGGTGCCACGGCTGCAATAATACTACCAAGTAGTATGGAATAGTCCCAAGTCATTCCGAGAAGAAAACGAGCTGAAATGGCGCAAACTCCGCCTTCAATTATCCAGGGTATGAGACTGAGCCTTACTACGATAAATTTGAGTCTCCATAGAGCTTTGGGGTCCAGGTCCAGGCCGGCTCTTATAAGAATAATTACAAGGGCTCCATGTCTGAAAATAAAATATTTGATTTGCTATACTATGCTTTATTTCAAAGTGTTATTATAACAAAAAACTGCATTTGGATTGAATGTTCATCTGGATATTCAGCTATATGAAGATATCTCTCTCCACAATCGCATAGTGGATTTTTAGAGGCATATCAAAGTTTCACAATAAAAATGTTAGTTGTAATTTGGGAATTTAAAATGATCGATGTTTATAATTTTCAAAGGAGTTTTGGGGGTTTCACTGATGAAGAATGCTGTGATAAGATTCTTTCAATAGATTTTGACTTTTCATTTCACATTTTAGGAGTAGGTAGGCATTTGAAAAGTTTGATTTTCCGGTATGATATTGATCCAGAATAATTGAGATTTAATCTCAATCAGGCCTTTCGACGATCTCATGGCATATTCTAAGTGCAATATCTTTTTCGGTAAATTTAAAGGAAAAAAAATTCTAGAATGAGAAGTTCTGGATTATTTTGTACAACGGGAATGGTTTTGATATAAGTATAATTAGTTCTTTGCATTACAAATCTATAATTTATGAGCAATGTTGTTAAGCCAGAAAATCCAACCCTAAAATTCCATCAAAATCAATGTGTGTTGTAAATATAGGTAGGTACATTTTATAAGGATCATTGAGGGAAAAAAGGAACTAATGCTGAATCAGGGATCTGGAGTTTTTGGAGTTACTATAATATTCTGGGGACCAATTGGGAAACTTGACAAATTGAAATCTCTTCACCTGTATCAATGAGTAAGTAAAATTTATTTGGAAGCATCAGTAAAGCTTTATTGAATTAATGGCAAGGAGAGGATCTAAAAAAATGCTTGTTCTGGTTCTGGAAAATTGGGGTTTGGATTCAGGTTGTCCAGTCTGCTACTTTTGATGTCTTCTGTGTATAGTTTTGTTTACCTGTATTGATTTTGAATGTCATGTATAATTCTTGTTTATTAAAGCCTAATTTCTGAAGGTGATTCAGTAAATCATCACAGTTTAATAACCAAAATAGATAAAGTCTTAAGACCTGAACGATACGACGCTGATCAAAACTCCCCAAAAGCTGCCTAAAAGTACGGACTAACTGGAAAGCAACTTGCAACAATTTCATATTATTCGTTGATAAGCCAGGCGCGGATCCAGGGAGGGGCCATGGGGGCCATGGCCCCCCCTAGATAAGAAAAAATAATTTTAAAAATCAACATTAAATCGACCAATTTTTCCGGGTTTACCAGGGCCCGTATATAACAGAATTTTATTTCATGGCGTCATTTTATCACAGACCTCTAGCCTATTCTATTTGTATGTACAGGGTGTCTGGTTATAATTTGACACCCCACCTGCAGCCTTTACCTTTACAGGTAGATGATAGGTGTGAACACAAAAGTTGTGCAGTTTTAACTAAATTTTCAGAATCCATCGTCAAAAACAAAAGTTTATTGTAAGAAATTTAAAATTTTGGGTACTTTCAACTTTTTTTAAATGAAATGCCCTATTAATGCTTCTAATATACAGGGTGAGTTAATAAGCGCGCGGTGGGCCCATATTTCTTATACTAACGGAGATCGAAGAAAACACTAAATAAAAAAACTTGTAGATAAACATGAGTACTACATTCCTAAATTATTTCCCAGTATACAGGGTGGCCCAATAACTAGTAGTGACACAAAGTTATGTTTCTTTACATGACTTCCCCTGTATATAATGACTTTTCTGGATTGTAAAATACTATCCTACTGACGATTTTGTGAACCATTCTGATGAAAGCTTCAGGTAAAATTTGAGGCACTTGGTTTCTCTGATAGTACATATTTTTAAAATTTTTGAAGCCAAATATGGTGAAAACGGCTCAACTAATTATAGAGAAACTATATATTTTTGGAATCGGAAAATTGTGCTCTTCAAGAATATAGAATCAAATATAGGGCATTCTATTTGAAAAAAGTTGAAAGTACGCAAAATTTCAAATTTCTGACAATAATTTAGCTAAAACTGCTCCACACCTATCATCTACGTATAAAGGTGTGTCAAATTATAACCAGACATCCTGTACCTTCCAATATATTGTATGGCCCCCCCCCCTTAATTTGGGTCTGGATCCGCGCCTGTGATAAGCTAGAAGATGATAGAAAACTAAAACTCTTGGTATGTAAGTTACAACAATTATGAGCATATATCCTGCTGTTCCTCTTACTCAGAAGCTATTGAAATTTTGGATTCAATTTTCAATAAACCTAAAAATAAAATATTTGCCAGACACTGCTTTACTTCCAGGAAGCAGCATCCCGGAATGACCGTTGATCAGTACTTACAAGCACTAAAATATATAAGTAAGCACTGTAACTTCAAAGATGTCAGTTGGACGATTGTTGGAGAATAACATTCTGAAGTTTGATGAAGCCCAGAATCAAGCTCTATCTCTAGAATCGGCACAAAAACATTCAGAAGCATATAGCATCTCTCAAGCTGTCATGTAACTCAATTTAATCTGAAAGTAGAGGAACACATGACCCTATTTCCGCTGCTGCGAAAGTATACAAATGTTATTTCTGTGGAAGTACCAAAAGACATTTTCGCACGTTATGCCCTGCTAGAGATTCAACGTGTACTGAATGCAGAATACGTAGACTATTCAAGGTTTGTCTAAGCAAAAGAAAAGTCAGAGCTTCTGCCTCAATTATACGTACCTGTTTCTGAGCTCCCTTGTGTTGCACCTGAAAGTTTAATCAAATGCCTCATCAAAATTGAATTAAACAATGTCGTTGTTGAAGTTCTAGTAGATAGCCTAGTAAAATTGATGTTGAACCTCAAACTAATCGCAATACTACTACTTTAAAGTGACGCGTTTATTCAAAACGGCAGAATTTTCAAAATTGCTGTCCATTATAATATTATTTGACACAGTTATACACATTTTATCATATTACTATTTGATAATGTTTATATAGATATTTTCTGATATCGTTTGATGATAGTATGTATATAGTGTGGTAAGTGGGATTTTTGCGCATGCAAAGTGAAGTTTATAATGCGAGCCGCAGGAGGGTTTTTCAAACTTTACTTTGCGTGCGCCTAAAACCTTACCACGCGAGTGTGAATACGATTCAATTTTATCAAAAACAAATTAGTGTGGTAACTATCATACCGCACAGTAAATTTCACTACTTCAACTTCCATTGCCATTAATTACACAATTATCAGAATAGTTACACGAAGCTGGGTGTAAAACACAACAATCTCAGAGTGACGCAGACTTCTTGATCATTATGAAAGCTAGAGAGTCGGCAAGAAGTCATCCTACAGCTATGGTTGGAGAAGTTCTTATGTGATATTTTTCTTCGCCCAGCCTACAAATCTTCCAAAACCATAACTATCTATGATATCAGAAAAATTTGAAACGCATACAGAGTAGTGATGTCTGCTCTCACATCTTATTTGATCACGCCATATTAGGATGTGATACCACCTCGAAACCAACTATCATCAGGTCCAACACTGGATGGGTATTAATATGAATCCATTACAGTGGGGATTTGAAGTAAAGGATGGAAGCTTGTCTCCTATTAGAATGAGTCGAGCACCAGCACCAGCTCATTTACTGAAATTTGTAATATTTGTCTGTATGAAAAGTCAATGTGCAAGTCTGCAATGTATATGTATGCAAACGACAGGCAATACTGTGCCCGGATGCATGCACAATTTTCAGAAGAATGAGCTGTTGCAATTCTATGGAAGTGGACAATAGTTATTAGGTACCCACAAATTGTATACTGCTACTCTATATCCCCCACAGGGGCGTGCGGTGCATCGAATTTGGGAAAGCTATGACCCAAGTATCTTGTTTTCTGGGGCAGTATGTGATGAGTCTCTAGTATATTTTTGAACCTATGTTAACATGCTGCCCAACTGCCCAGGAAACAAGCAACAAGCTACATTTGTCATAGCTTCCCCAGAATCCATGCACCGCACGCGCCCAATCCCCAATAATATTATAACTGTGTGTAGCCTACTTTCATATAATCATTTTTGTTTATTGTGTTAATCGTTCACGTACTGGATTTTCAATTGCAAGTTCTAATATACCTACCTAATTTAATGTATCAAAATAATGGTTAGCCATTCTGTCGCGTCACCATAGAGTGGTAGACGCTTCGCCGTCGTTTTCTACGGAAAATTTCCATTAGGACACCATTCACAGAAATTGTATTGCAATTAGTTTTACGTTAAGCCCATTTGTCGTACAATTTGCAGGGAGCTCTGCCTAATTTTGAAGATATTGTTCGTGCTGTGGCAAAATTTGAGATGTTTAGCACTATAGATATACAATGTGCGTTTCCCCAAGTTCCAATACCTGACGACGAAAAACATTATACAGCTTTTGAGGCAGATGGTGAATTATACCAGTTTCGAAGAATTCCTTTTGGCGTAACAAACGAAGTTGCGTGTTTTCCGCGGGTAATAGACTACACATAAAATCAGAGGCCTTGAAGGTGTCTACGCATACTTAGATGATATCACGATATGCGCTATAAATCAAGCAAATCAGATCATGATGAAAATCTAGAAAAAAAATGTATTTGTTGTGAGGAAATATAATTTCACCAAAAACGGAAAGAATTTATAAAAATTCTTCCAAATAAAACCACAGGTCTGTGTCCAAAGCGGCTTGATGCCAATGACATCCCGCAATTTGCTTAATATCATCATATCATCAAGCCATCTCTTCTGAAGATTTCCTGTACTACGCTTAGTAGTTCGTGGTCGCCACTTCGTAACCCGAATTGTCCATTTACTCAGGTCTTGCCATGCCACATGTCCAACCCAGCATCACTTCGATTCTGCTACACATTCGATGATGTCTTTCACTTTTGTACGGTTCCTTACTTCTATCTTCCGTACTCTGTCCCTCAATCTTATTCCAAGCATGAATTTCTTCATTGCCCTCTGTGTTGTTCTGAGTGTTTCAGCACTATTCTGTGTTAGAATTTCCTTCTGAAGTCCAT